GCTCGGGCTCGGGTTCGGGTTCGGGCTCGGGCTCCGGCTCCGGCTCGGGCTCAGGCTCGGGCTCGGGGTCGGGATCGGGTTCGGGTTCGGGTTCGGGTTCGGGTTCGGGTTCGGGTTCGGGATCGGGTTCGGGTTCGGGCTCGGGCTGGGCTCGTAATGGAAAGTTAAGGTCTACGAGCAAAAGTGAATGCACAATGTTTCTGCACTTTGGGTCTTGGGGCATGCTAAAATGAGCCCATGCTCTGATCTGCTTTGCAAAAGTGATCTTAGAAGTGATATGAATACTTGCAATTCTTCTCTGATGGTAGGAATTCTTGTTGTTCTGACGGGGGAGTGGGTGGATATTCTAAGTATGGGAAGAAGGCCCGCATTCTACTCACAAGCACATTAGGAGATTGCAGACTTTTACATGACCTCGCATGTTTGAAACTTCCCGAATCCCTGAACACTGAGCTGCAGCCAGGGGCTTGGAGTGTAGCTTTGGAAGTTTGGGCGCTAGAGCTTCCCGCAATCTGGACCACCCAAGGATTCTTGATGTCTGAAATGGTGCCGAACTTGGACCTTGGGAACCTTCCATTTGGACCTGGAAGTCCTATCTAGTCGATAACGCGGCAACCCAAAAAGAAAGCATACTCAAACCCAACGAGCGCAGAAGCCTAGACCCAGTTCCTAGTTGGGATTCCTTACATCCTGGCCGGGTGGCAAAGGTGATTCGGGGAGCAGACCATTTCAGGAACATCGAAGCCGGAAAAGACCTGCACGGGTTAAGACCAAGAGGAATCAAAGGAAATCGAAAACAACAAACATCGAAGAAGAAGTAGAAGGAGGAGGTTACTTGGGGGCCGTAGAGTTGGAAAGTCCGCAGGTCTTTAATTTTTCGCATGTGTAGCTGTGAAGCAGGGGGCGGACGAAAGAGTAGTCCCCAAAGAAACTCCCTCAGAATCTCAAGAGCCCGATCTCCTGGTATGACACTGGGGTGAACCCAATCAGCCTTTTGAAGGTGCCGTGTCTGTGCCGTTTCTTATTAAGCCTCCTACAAAAGGTGTGTTCTGTGCGGTGGCAGTGTGCGCAATGCAGAAGCTGAAGCAGTGTCTAAACTCAGCACTGAGATGAACGCCCAAAACCGTCACCTTTAGCAGTTGTATCACCCTTGTCCTTGAGACCCTGCCTTGCCATGCAGCGCGCTACACCCTCCAACGTCCCACTCTATGCAATTGCACATCAGAGCCTGAACTGAGGCCCCAGACAGGGAAAACTCACACCTTCCAAATGTCCACTCGCCTTCTTCCAGACGGCGTTTGTCACTATAACGCTAACCTCCATCACAACTTTTAGAAATGTTGTTTCGCTGCCATTGTTTCACGGCGGCTGATTTACTGAATATGATTGCCACAACGGCTAGCACCCTAACCACAAACGGCAGATCGTAAATCCTCAAACTTCGACCTCGAGCCAGAAAGCCTTACACGGAAACCTCGCCTGCACCAGCCAAGTCTGCAGGTTATCCAGCCAGCCTTGATGCTGCAGGCCGTAGCATGCCTTGCCAGATTAAGGCTTAGCGGCTTGGTGTTAGGCCCGGTTTATTGTTCAGGATTTTGTGTTGCCAGTCCTGGCTGAGCGAGCAAGTCGAGGATGCGACAGGAGGACGTTTATGGTCAAGGCATTTTATGAGGCCCTTTAGGCGCTGGATGCAAGGTTTAGGCTCGGATCTAGGTACATGACAAGGTTTTCTGCTATCGCTTGGTGCCGCACCACACTCAGGCTTTGGCCGGAAATACCCGAAAAATGCGGTGTGGCCGAGGGGCGTCCAATCAGTTGGAAAGTACATGAAAGTACCTCTTAGTGTAGGTTTTCACCCTGTAAGAAAACTGCATACCTCTTCGCCTGCACGTTGAAAGGATCCTGTCTTTGTGTCCTGAGCAGAAGAACGGCCCTCTGAAATGCCTCTGAGCTATTGCTGTATAAACTTACCAGAACATGTGGTATTGAGAGCGCCACAGATAGTCGGAAGGTTTGTTTTCGAGCGCTTTTAAGAGCCGTGCTTAGTCCTAGAAGGACTCATGAACCAAGCAGCTCCTGCATCCCTTAAGGTCGGTCTATGAGGGTTCCTAGGAGCGGTCACAGAAGAAGAGCTCTGAGGAGCTGACATTTTCTCCCCCACCCTGTCTCCTAGCTAGTCACTGAACTACAGACTTTACTGGGATGCTGTACGTTTACAAAACCGGAGGGCACGTACATAGGGATGAGATAAGGTTGAGGGTACTACGATTACATGCTTTAGGTTCAGGCCTCGCTTGCGGAAAGCAAACATTCTGCCTGTACATCAATGGCTCAAGACAGCCAACCCTCGAACCTTTTGGGATGGTCTCACGCAGTTGTCATGAAGCTTCAGGGTGGGGCCGGAGGAAAAAGTGGCATGCTTCGGGCAAAGGGGAAGCCCTTGAGATTCCCGGGCGAGAGTATGGCATGTCCTCAACCTCAAATGATTCAACACAGGTTTGCACTCGATCTTGGATGTGTTGCCGGTGAAAGGAACTGACATGAAGGAAGTGCACGGTCCAGGCAAAATGCTACTCTTTGACGTCTTGGAGATGTGAATCTGAGACTAAGTCCTGACTCATGCTCCGTTCTTCCTGAACCATCCCCGGATCCTCGACCTCCACCATGGTGTCCGGACATCCCTAGTGAATCTCGACTGAACTCTGAGCTGCCTTCTGCTGATAAGGGTAACCACACTGTTCATGTCGAGGCTTTCCATCACAGCTAGTATGAACGTAAGGTAGCTAGTACGGATGAGCTTCGTGATCGGACAATTACTAGCCGAACCCTGACCCCGACCCAAAGTGACATTACGACGACTACCACTCCTTCTCGAGCTCCTCTTGATACGAGTACAGCTACTGCTCGTATTTATTGACTTGACACAACCAAGACCTCCCAAGTACCCATGACAATAGCCAACACATGCAATCTAAGAAGCAAAGCTGTTAGATGTTTTGGAGAATGTCTGGACAGTAAATTGCAGGCTTGGAGCCATCTGGAGAGACGTGATATTGGCGACCTGCTGCTTTACCACGGCGCTGTCCGCGCAGGCTGCAAGAGCCACGTATACGTCAAAGCGCTTGCAGTTGCCCAAGATCACGGCCTCCTCAAAATGACAGTAGGCATGCAGCACCAAGAAAACGGTAGGTGAGAATGAGCAACAAAATCATCATCACGATGCTTCCAAGCCAACTGTCGTCATCATGGTCATCATCACTGTCACCAGCACCATCATTAGCATGATCCCATCAACATCATCATCATCATCATCGTCACCATCATCATCAACAACAAACTGGTTGTCATCATTGTCATCACCATTGTCATCATCATTGCCACTGGGTCCTTCGGGGCTCTGGTTTGAAGGAAATCCATCACGCAGATGGCGCGCTGCAGGATCTTCATGGATCTTCACACATGCCATTTCCAGACACACTCTTTAAGCTCCTGAGGCCCGCTATGTCTGTCCTCAATCTGCACATCCGGAGTGGACATGGATCGCATTACAGAGGACAGGCGGCGCGCCGTCCTCCAACGAAGATCTAGAGGAGACTGCGATAGGTAACTGGCCCAGTGGTTCATAGGTCTAAGTTTAGGAGTTGAGTTTTTGGGCGCGCAACCTTGCCGTATGACAACCATTCATCTACTTGGTGCCTCATGGTACAGCAAAGTTC